ACAGAAGTGGCACAAATCTGAGCCAGGGCTTTTTGTCTCAGTACACGTGCCCGGACATGCACTTTGGTGTGGGGCAAATTGTGCCACTTAAAGCAAAATAACCCTGCTTAACTCCTCCCAGATCTGCAGCCAGGGGGAGCTAGAGGCTGAGGCCAGCACCTATGCTGGCCCCAGCAGTACAAAAACCTGCCCTGTGCCAGCCTCAGCAGTATAAAAAGCTGCCCTGGCAAGTAGTTCAGGATTATTCACTCTCAGGAGCTTCTGGGACGCACATGGGTCTACCAACGACACATGCAACCTGCAGTCTGGTCCAGGAGGTGAAATCTGGCTTACCTTCCTACGCCTTTGTCTTTGTTGACCAGGTCCTGCACAGTGTCAGTCCCCGCCCCCTCCTCCCATGTCCTCCAGGCCACTGGAGTTTGTCGTGGGGCCGGCACCTTGCCCAGCCTCGTGGTGCTCCCTGCTCCACCACCTAAGCCAGCTGGAGGACACCAGACTGGTCTGCTTTTCCAGCATCCATCACTGCCACCTCTACATGCTCATGTGCCACACGATCCACCATGCCGCCCTCACGTCCCTCCCAGACACCAAGTGGAGGGACCTGCTCGGCGAGGCCATGGCTGGGGCACCCCGGTGGCTGAGTCTGTATTCCATCCTCATCCCACGAGCCACTGGGCACCTCAGCTGGGGACTCTTCCATGCAGCCGTTGCCATGGGCATGTATGTGGCGAGCTTCACAGACACCCCAATCTCCTGACCCTTCTTCAGGCAGAGTGAGACCCTGGTGCACATGACCCTCGAGTGTGCCAGGCTGTAGCCCCTCCACCTCCAGAACCTCTTCCTGAGGCTCTGGTTGAATTTCATAGTTTCATAGTTGGAAGGGTCAGAAGGGACCCGAGCAGATGGCCAAGTCCGACCCTCTGCCATGGACAGGAAAGAATGCTGGGGTCAAATGACCTCAGCTAGGTGATTATCTAGCCTCCTTTTGAAGACCCCCAGGGTAGGAGCAAGCACCACTTCCCTTGGAAGTTGGTCCCAGATCCTAGCCGCTCTGACTGTGAAGTAGTGCCTTCTAATGTCTAGCCTGACTCTCAGTCAACTTATGGCCATTATTCCTCAGTACTCCCAGTAGTGCTCGGGGGAACAGGGACTCTCTCAGCCTGCTGGTCCCCCTTGGCCAGTTTGTAGACCACCATCAGATCCCCTCTCAGCCTTCTCTTGTGAAGGCTGAACAGGTTCAGGTCCCATAGCCTCCACTTGTAGGGCCTGCCTTGCTGCCCCCTGATCATGCGAGTGGCTCTTCTCTGGACCCTCTCGATACTGTCCACATCCCTCCTGAAGTGCAGCACCCAGAACTCCTGAGGCACCTTTGTGTTTTTGGTCCCCCCACCTTTTTGTTTTTGGTCACCCCATCCATGGCCCCATCAAGTCCTGGGACCTCCTGGTCAGCCTCCTCCTGGCCCTGGCCAAGTGGGCTCTGTACTTGACCAGGAAGGAGGCTCTGGCCAGGAAGGTGCCCAGAGACTGCAGGGCTGCTTTCTTCTCACTTGTCCGTGCATGTTTCCAGGCAGAGCACCAGTGAGTGGTGTCCACTGGCTCGTTGGATGCCTTTGAGGACTGGCGGGTGTGGTCTGGTGCCCTTCTCTGGAGCACTTACTTTCATGTTTTGACCCTTTGACCCCCATGTCATTCCTATCTGTTATTTTTTTCCTTAGTTGTCCCACAAAATCAGTTGCTCCATTCATCCATTAGCCACCATATAGTGGGGGCTACTAGTTTACTGGGTGGGCCTTAGAGCCCACGGCAATTCTGAATGGACAAATAGACAGAAGCTTCTGGGGTCTGTGCATGTTTGCAGGAAGAGCACCAATGGGCAGTGTCTACCAGCTCCTTGGATGCCTTTGAGGACTGGTGGGTGTGGCCTGGGGGGTTCTGCTTAGTGTCCATGTCTGGAGCCCTTTTTTCACATTTTGACCCTTTAACCCTCACGTCACTCCTATCCTGCTTTTTCCTTAGTTGTCCCAAAATAAATAAAGTTGCATCTTTCACCCTTTGGCCCCACACAGGGGGGGCTATTAGTTAGATGGGTGGGCCTTAAGGCCCATGTTAACTGGAAGATACAAACAGACAGAAGCTTCTGGCGCTTGGCCAATTGGTATCTGGGGGCACTACCCCTTGTGCCAGCTAGACTGCTGAAGCAGCCCTGAGAGGTCTCTGCACCCTCTACCCACTGCAGCAGTCTGGTAGTAGGGGCTGCTGCCTGGCTGTGACCTGCTGCCACCTGTGACAGCATTTGATCCCAAGGCTGCATACCTGCCAGACCCAGCTGAGGACTGCATGGCTATTAAAGGCATCTGCACCTCTGGGCCAGTTGCCAGTGGGCTGTGGCTTCACAGTTGGCCTTTGTGCACCACTGCCTGGCCACCTGGGCAGCTATCACCCAGAAAATGTTCTCAGTGTGGTGGCCTGCTCTGAACTGTCAAAGCATGTCCTCCTGGCCCCAAGTGGCCAGGAGTTCAGCCACCTACAGCTGAGTCCTGGCTGCCAGCTCTGAGCAGTCTCCTCTGCCTGGGTCCTGCCACTTGCTTCACTAGCGGCAATTCTGGTGTTCCCCATTTAAAAACTGCAAAATCCCCGGTTAAAAAAAAATCCCAAAGTCACTCTTTAAGATACCCCCAAATCCCTGTTCTTCCACAATTAAAACAAAAGACTGCTAGATAGATATAGATAGAGAGAGATCAAATCAGTTGGGCAATGTTTTATTGATATATTTATGATTTTAAAGCAATTTGGAAGCCGACCAGTGCCTCTATCATTACAACAAAATACATTCTAAATATCTATACAGTTTGGCATTTACTTTTGGCTTTTTTTTCATAGAAAAATCAACAGATGCCCCTACCCACTTCACTCACTAGGATGTGAATCACTGAGCACCACCGAGATGCCAGTGTCCTGCCTCTGCCCTTCACTCTCAACCCACAGCCTGCTCTCCACCCCAGTTGCTTCACTCCTGACCCACAGGACCAGGTATGTGGGTGCAGGGTTTGTGGCTGGATTGTTGGGGGACTGTGGGTGTGGGGGGGCATATAGGGAGGCTGCTGAGGAGGGGTGGATCACAGCCCCCCCTCACCCCCCCATTCACAGACTGCTCCCCCCACAGGGGCCACAGCTTCCCCCAACAGGGCCCACAGCCCCCCACTCGCTCCTCCACCTGGTCCCAGCTCTCCACTTGCCCTGCTGTCCGGTCCCAGCTCCCACCCGGCCCCAGCATCTCTGCACTCACTGGCAGCAGCAGTGGCCACCGGGGCCACTCAGGGTCTCATGGCACAGCCTTCCCACAGGGATCGGCCCTGGCTGCCTGGCACCCGAGCTGCCACTGCCACGTCACAGGGCTGCAGCCTGGCTCAGCAAGGCACTGTGCGGCGTCATGCATTGTCAGGCAGCTCGGGGTCGCTGTGGCTGTCACTCAGGGCTCAGTGCTGCTTAGCCCGAGTGGCCCAGAGCTGCCTGACAGCACGTGGTGCTGTGCAGTTCCTTGCTGTGCCAGACTGCACCCCCACAATGTGGCAGCGGCAGTGCAGATGCCAGGCAGCCGGGGACAATCCCAGCTGCCCTCCGCTGCACTGGAGGGCTGTGCCATGAGGCCCTGAGTGGCCCCAACAGC